GTGTATCTGTCAGAGGTTATTGGCATTTGTTCTGACCACCTTGGAGTAGCTTTCAAAGCAATTGAAGCCGAAGCCATGTCGGGTCTCCTAAATGGGGATCAAGGCGCAGGCGTGGATAGGATTCTGAAGCTGGGTGGCTTTGTTCGGATTTGGAGGGAACTCTTAGCACGGTTTAGGGGTTGGGTTTGGGGTTAAGGGTTTAGGGGCGAGATACGGGAGCCCATGCATCCTGGCTCTGATTGAAGCGGGGTTCGGCTGTTGGGCATTGACCTCACTTCATGAGACGTTCAATACTGCGGCTTGTACCTGGGTACAACTGCCCTGCACCCTGTACGATGCAGTTTGATGCAAGCACGTGAAAACCTTGCGCGCCCGAGCCCGCAAACCTAAACCCTAAACTCTAAACCCTGAACCCTAAACCCTAAACCCTGACCCCTAAACCCTAAACCCTGAACCCTGAACCCTAAACCCCCGAACCCACACAGGCTCGGGGAGCTTGATCTGACGGCAGATGAGTCCTTGCGGCTTGGCCTGTGTGGGGAGCCCTCAAGTAGAGGGGTTGTCTGTCTTTTCCGCCCCGAACCAGACAGTCTGGGATTTGGAGATTAGGTGCCTCCAGTCTCAAGAGCACTCAAGGTACTTGGTGAAGAGGGCCATGGGCAAGTACGTCGTGCCGACAGCAGAAGAGAGGGAGGGCGGCAGTGACGTGGTGGTAAAGTGCCTTCTCATCGGTGGAGCTCGCGCCGGGAAGTCTTCGCTGCTAAAGGCATTCAGTCGAGAGGACTTCCGTGAGGAGTACCAAGCTACCATTGGTGTGGAATTCAACACTTTGCGGTTCCAGTCTGAGGAAGGGCTTATTCTCAAGCTTCAGGTCTGGGACACGGCTGGCATGGACCGATTCAGAGCCATTGTCAGTGCGTACTATAGAGGGGCTGCTGGCTTCCTCGCAGTCTTTTCTCTCGGCAGCCGGGCCTCCTTAGAGGAGACCCTGAAGATCGTCCGCGATGCTCAAAGCCAGTATCAAGAATCTTGCCGCTGTATGTGCTTGGTGGGCACACATGCAGACCTGCCCGAGCCGGAGGTGACAGAGGAGGAGGCTCTTCAGTTGGCTGCCGAGAACCAGTGCCCGTACTTCGCGGTTTCCTGCAAGACTGGACAACACGTCGCTAGTTTGGCCATTGGGATAGTCTTTGTTCTCCTTCATTGGGTCTAGGAGGATCTTTACAAAGCTTTGCTAGAGGCGTTTTAGGGCCAGCCTAGGTCCATGACCCGCTCTTTGCATGGCTGGACATGTTCATCGAGCGGGAGGTTGGCGGAGAGGCAAAGTGAAGCGAGAAGAAAACGAGTCGCCGGGGAAGAAGCTATATTCCCTTTGCTGACTGCAGGTGACGTCCAGTGTGTTGCTGTTGTTCCTGTGATTGTGCTGCATGCCTTTATCATCTCTGTGTGCAAGCATGGCGTAGCCCCATCCAAAGCTTTAACTCCCCAGTTCTGCAGCTCCTAGGCATGCATCCCTTTTCCTCTACCAGAAGCTCAGGACTTTGCGGGAGTTGCAGGGTGCCGTCTGGGGGTGCTCTTAAGCTTCAGATCCCTGTCAGGGTATCGGCAAGCCCGAAAAAAGCCCCTGAAGGAAGCCCCATGTCACAAGCTCGGAGTGAAAACTTAGCATGAAGCTTCAAGCTCCGAGACCCGGAACCCCAAATCTGTCTCCTAGATCTTCCTGCAGCTTTAGTCCCCAAGCACAAACCTTCAACCAACTTCGAACCAAAAACGTCGCAAGCAAGGTTTTTCGAGCTTTGGACCACGAATCCCAAGTTTGAGCATGGCATCCTGTGTCTGCGGCGTAAGTCTGGGTTCAAGACCCGGCCCGGAATCCTGAACCAGGACTTTGGTGCCTTCTGAGCTCGAGGTTGGGCGGCATTGGTCGAGTTCGGATTGAGGGTTGAGATTACTGTTCGAATCTTACGTTTCCTTGTCTTGGCAGTAGATGTTTTGGAAAGGTTGCTGTTGCTGCGAGGTACTTGAAGGTTCGTGGGTAGTGACATACCTAAACAAAGGATATATGAGATGTACTCATAGTCATACCTATATGCCCAGTCCCCTGATGACATATGTAATCATGGTCCTACCCATCATGGTCCTACCCATAAAGTCCCCTTATCGTTCAAGCGGGCGCTCAGACTTAAGTGCTACTCCCCAGCTTCTGGGCCCATGGCCTGGAGTTCGAAATATGCAATAGTACTGATCACAACGATATTTTAACAGTAGAGTTGCGATGCGATCTTCTCTTGATACTATATGACTTCGGTTTTCGAGTTAAAGTCAGACATGGGTCAATAGACAGGGCTGTCTTGAGTCTTGCTCTGCAGCCCCAGCTGTTGGGAGAATGATCGAGATGTATTCTCTTTCTAGACCGGGCATCCACACAAGACGTGGTGCTTTTGCACGCGCTCTACCACGAGGTGGCTCTTTTCTGCATAGCATCGCAACTCATGCTCCTTGCGCTGATCCTTCGCCATGCTTGTCTCAAGGCTCTGTCCGAGCGCCTGGCAAACCTTTCGCGCGAAGGTAGCACTTTGCAGGAGGCCGCAATGAAGACCCAGCGGACTCATTCCTCAAGATGCTCATGGCGACTTCCCACAGACGCGCGGATGTCACCAGAGGATGCTGCTGCCTTGGCCTCCATGATGGCAGAGGGCCTGCAAACAGCTTGACTGAAGCACGGCAGGCAGAGCAACATAAGGATGCAGAAGCGCCGGGGGCCTTTGGGCAGGTGGCAATTGAATGCAATTGAAACTTCCCAAAGGAAGCCAGCCGACGCTCAGATGTCCCCCGAGGATGCTGCAGCAGTGTACCTGTAACTCATCTGTCATACTAGGCATGCTCTGTTCCAAAAGGCCTCTCAGCTCCACCAAAGCAGCCTCCACTCCGAGCACTTCCGAGACTCGGGCCCAGGTCACCCTCCCTGAACCTGGAGATGTGCGACCCTGGGCCCAGGTCGGACATCTCGAGGTTCAGGGAGATGTCCTGAATCTTCTTGAGGCTGGAGACGGCAGTGCGACATGTGAGTAGTTCTCTAAATTCGGGTTCCTTTTAAGGCCCTTGTTGTAAGGGTGCCGTACTATATTGGGGAGCCAAAGCGGGACCCTAATGTAGAGAACTACCCGCGACCTGCTTGTCTGTCGCCATCGCCATCTGTGGCTGCTTCCTTTTTCATAATCTGTCGTCGTCGAGGTCGGCGCGCACGACGATCGGGAGGGCGTGTAGAGCGTCCAAGCAGCCCACATGAAGCCCCCCCAATTTGAGCAATCCGTGGCTGGAGGGTCACCGGATGCCTTTATGACAACGCTCATGGAGGAGACCTCGCACAAGAAGTTCACGGACATACAACTTTCGCGAGAGGATGCTGAAGCGATGGCAGCCATGATGGCAGCAAAGCAACCCTTGGAAGCAGAGACACAACATGACCACCCAACGCTCATAGAGACCTCGGAGTAGAAGCAGATTGATGATAAATTGTCACCGGAGGATGCCGAGGAACAGTCTGCATGCGACACAGATGGCTGGGACAGTGATGACTTCTGGGCACTCACCGGTTCCAGCCTGTCACCACGCCTGGCAGCAGTCAAGCTCTTTGCAGCAATGGGAATCTTGGAAGACCTTGCATTCGTCACAAGTGGTCCTGTTGCGCCCACGAACACCATGAAAAGCCAAGAGCCTTTCAAGGACATTTGGGACAGTTTGGCTGACAACATGTCACCAGAACTGGTGGCAGCTAACCTCGTGAACGCGGCCCAGTTCATACAGGCCTATACTGAATGACTGAACGATGCTAGCGGTGCAAGTGCCAAAGGCGACTCCAAAGGCGCTGAAAAACCTGCGTGTTTAGCTGTCAGTGTGGCCGAGAACTGAGGGTAATCTAGGCTCAGTTCATGTATTGGGAATTACGGGGTTAAGTTTAAGGCTTCGGAACATTGCGATGTTTGTCTGATAATTACGGAGGATGCTGTTAGCCAGGGGGGCTAAAGTAAGTGTCCATGTTAGTACTGGGGCTAGCAAGCGATGAATCTTAGCTCGACTCTAAACTCGAAGCCCCAATCCCTGAGGTCCTTTCAATCCTGTTGTGGCTTGGATCAACGCTGTCCAAGGATTTCATTCGTTTGTTGGTACTTTCTTAAAGGGGTACACGTAAGTCGACAGGAGAGCATGCACTACGTACAGGGGTTTAGGGTTTAGGGTTTAGGGTTCCCTGAGTTTGCGTCGTTCAGCGTTTTTGTGCATTCAGGACAGGGGCGTGGGTTTACGGCTGAAGGATGGAAGGTTGGCGTTGTGACGGCGGTAGTGTTCCTGTCCCCTGTCGGTTCTTCGGGCTTATGGTTTCGAAGCACTAAACCCTACTTGGAAAACTTAAGATCCTTAACCCTCGATGCTAAACCTCAAACCCTGAACTTGAACGCCCAAACACGAAAGGCTCAATCATTATCAAAGTGGTTCTGCATCCAGGGCTTTAGATGCCAGGAGACGATGAGGGATCCAGTCAGCCGCCTAGTTCCGGTTCCTTTCTACGTGCTGCCATACAAGGCCGGACATCTCTTGGAGGTATAGGGTTTAGGGTTTAGGGTTTAGGGTTTAGGGTTTAGGGTGGGCATAGGTCTCATATACTCGGTGTCACCAGTTGTCATGATGGGTTCCCTGCATTGGCTTTCGGTTTTCGCTATTGTTCTCAGACAATTGTCTTTTTGTAGAATCGCTAGGCCACTTAGGTAACTGTGCGCCACTCTTTGTACTGCTGCCAGCATCGCCACCGCCACCGCCCCCACAACCACAGGCGACCACCAGCACCACCAGCACCACCCCGTCCACTGCCACCACCGCCACCGCAACAGCCACCGACACCGCCGCCGCTGGCGCTACCGCCACCGTTACCGCCATCGCCACCCCAACCGCCATCCTCCATTTCGCTGCATCATCGTCGTCGTCGTGGCCACCATGATCTCACTGGTCGTGGTCCTCCTCCTCCTCCTCCTCCTCATCATCTTCCTTCTCCTCGTCGTCATCGTCACCACCATCATCATCATGATGATCACCATCGTCATCATCATCATCATCATCATCATCATCATCGTCATGATGATCATCATCATTATCATCATCACCCTCCTCCCCCTCCTCCTCCTCCTCCTCCTCTTCCTCCTCCTCCTCATCAGAATCATCACCATCACCGTCATCATCATCAACAACAACACCGTCATCATCATCATCATCCTCGTCGTCGTCATCATCATTATCACCGCTATCATCATCACCACTATAATCATGACATCCACTAAAGGTGTTGTCGCTTTCATGGCCCTCAGCAACAGCATTCGCATGACCTGCAGCATCGGCCTGTCTTCGTTATCATCGTCATCATCTTCAATTTAGCAGTAAGCTCAGTGAAATGATCGTTACTATGACCATCTATATACATGAGCGTTGTCAGTACAATCACTTCGTCGTCGCCATGATCTAGACTTTTCGTCACCTCTGCAAATCACCTGCAGTTCCGCCTGGCGGTGCACAGAGGGGTCGGCACACGGCTCGGATTGGGAAAGAGTCAGGGGATGACGCGCCTGTCATATTTCAGTGTTTCAGCTTCAAGTAATCATAGGTTTTACGAAGAGCAATAAATATCCTGATGTGCCTCCTGAGATCTGCAATTTGGCAGGTGTTTGGTACATTGCTGTTCGTTTGGTTTGGCGCATTTCTGCGGGATATATCGCGGAAGAGAGTCATGAATGGCATCACTCCTCTAAAGGGCGGCTGCCAGAACCAGCACGCACACACAGATAACATGTTAGATTAATGTAGTATAGTTGTTTCAAAAAGTTTATACTAGAATGACTACGTAGAATCAACAGTGAAACGGTGTGTTATATTAAAACGTACATGTACTAAAAGCCTAGTCCATCCTAAAAGGCTTGGGGAAAAGGCCTAGTGCTCAAATGCGAACGCAACTGCGCCGAAAGCGCATATATAGAAGCCTGAATAGTTGTCACTATTATTCTTTAAGTGTCCTACTATAGTTTACATCTATGGTACAGTCAAAAGATATACCAGGTATACCTCCATCGAAGCACCAGTGGCTTTTCCCTGAGTACTAACCGCATAGTCCTCAGGCCCAAACCCCAATCCAAGTCCCCAAAGCCCCTAAGCCCCACACCACAACCCCGAAACCCCTATCAGCCCTTGAAGCCTCTTCAGGCCTATATTCGCAACCGAGGTGGCCTCGCCCAGGGAATCGCCGCACCCAGAAAAGGGAGCCTGGCACCCGGAAAGTTCGAGGCTGGAAGGATTCAAGGTGGGTTTAGGGTTTAGGGTTTAAGGTCTCGGGCCGTGTTTGTGATTGTGGGTTGTCTTAGGCAGATGCTGGAAGTGCTCGTTACTGTAGCTGCGTCTACGGGCGGCGGCTGTGGTTGTGACGTGGTGCATGTGGGTGTGTGCATATATGTATTTGTGTGTGTACATGCATGTATATATATATATATAAGTAAATATAAGTATAAATAAAAATAAGCAAATAAATAAATAAATAAATAAATAAATAAATATATATATATATATATGTATATATATATATATATGTGGTCACCCCCCCATGACAGACCACCCCCTTTAAGACCCCGCTCCCGCCGGCGATTCCGGCCTTTTTCGTGGGTTCGGGATTCAAGCCCTGTTTTCGCATGGCTTTAACCACTCAACCGAAAACGAACAACCACTATGCCAGCAAAGATCCGCAGAGAATGCTGGAGCTGCATGGATGTGTGTTTGTCTTTTGCTGGTCTGTATTCGTGTGGCTTCAAACCCTGAGACCAAACAACCAAAGAACCAAAGATCCAGAGAGAATGCCGGAACCGTTTTTTGGTTTTGTTTGTTTGGTTCTTTGTTTTTGTTGTTTTGTTTTTTGGGTGTTTGGTTTTGCGTTTGTTTGGTCTTTTGGTTTTGGTGTTCCGGCTACCATGGGTAATTGGCACCGTGTAAGAAAAGCCTGTAAAACCCAAACCAAAAAAGCCAGAAAAAACCACAAAAAAAATAGCAAAACCACCAAAACACCAAAACCAAACAGCGAAACAGTTCCGGCATTCTCTCTGGATCTTTGATTTGTTGTTGTTCTGGTCTCTCGCCCTTCATCTTTGGTGTTTCGCGCCTGCGCTCTTGCCGCAGATCCCCCTACCGCAGCCCTTATCCTTAAACCCTATACCAAAGCATCTGTGCACTTCTTTACAGCTTCCAGCTACAAGTTTCGAAAACATTCTGTTATTGGATACTCTGGTACCAGTAGTCGTTTCAGTGCGAAGTAGTTCATTCAGTTCTTGTGCGTACACATGCCCATATGTGCAACCGAGGCTACTAAGCCTCACACATGAGTAACAACTGCAACAGATCTCGCAGAAGTGTCAGCCATCCACCATATTGTTGAAAGCCATATCCTTGTTTGTATGGTTTGATTGTTCCGTCGTCTTTTACCACCAAATTCACATTGGTCCATTACTTCACTACTTCATACAATCGTATATGCAACACCAAGCCATATTGCCAGATGAATGCCCATATGGCTGTAATCTTAACAACATTGCATTAAAATGTTTAAGTGTATTTGTCAAAGGAACAGTATATTTCGGCAACAGCAGCTAGTCGTAGCAGCTCGTTCGTGACCCACTACTACAATTGCAGGTATCGGTGTGTGTACTCGAACTGTAATCGTGATACATTTACAATGTTCCATCTTTGGCAGTCTTTCACCATTAACATAACATTGGTCCATTACTTCGCTGTTTCATGCAATCGTATATGCAACACCAGCCGTATTGTCAGATAAATTCCGGTATAGCTGTAATCTTAACGCGATTACATTAAAATTGCAAGTGTATTTGTCCAACGAACAACGAATTTCGGCAGTAGCAGTTCTTCGTAGCAGCATGTGACCCACTATTATAGTTGTAGATGTCGGTATGTGTACTGGAACTTTTTCCGTCATACACCTACAAGCCTATCTTATCCCCACTTCTATTCTCAGTCATACCTACAATACGAATACATTCTGCTATGCACGAATTATCGTATCAAGTGCAGTTGGTGTATTCTTTTTTACATTTACCAAGTAGGTAGAGCTTTCGGGATTTTTTTTTTGGCGTTTCTGGGCCTCGTGAATGCTTTTGTTGCTTACCGTTGCTATTCAGGGCCCCAGGCACAGATTAGGTCCCCAGGCCCACAGGTCTGCGCAACAAGAAGGAGATCTTGAGAAGGCGCCCCTGGCATGATTTCAGTCATCCATGACAGAATTTGTTGAGAGGCAAGCTAGCTTGTGAGCTGTTGCCTTGCTTACCATGCTGTGGCTCGCAGGCACCCGCTTGCCTCAACCCTAAGCCGTGCAACCTCTCAGTCTGCCTGGAGTCAGAGCAGCGGACACCTTGCGGCTTCCAAGTTGAATGTCTATTTGATTTGCACAGCAGCACACGTCGGAGCTTCCCACGGCCAGGCAGGAATCTGGGTTTCGGGCAGTTGGGGTCTTGTGGGTCTTGTGAAGGCCTCAATCCTTAAAATTTTTCGCAGGGGCTTACCAATATCCTTGTTACTGTGGTTAGAGTTGCCGTTCTGCTTCTTTCAGTATTGCTAACCCACAGAACATTCTGTACCTCTTCATTCCTTATTTGTTCCATAATGCTGTCTCTGGGTTAATCACCCCTGTGCGATTAGCTCTGGGGAATCGGTACATTGTTCAGCAGATGGTATTCACATTATTTTAAGCCAGCCAAACATTATCAGGTACATGTGTCAGTTGTTAAGTCCTGTGTTCATTCACGTTTTGATTAGTATGTAATTAGCAAGTCTGAGTCCCTGAATGTTCACACCCGCGCTTTAACAGAGCGATGCACTAGTCCGGTAATACATTGAAGCTGGAGGATTGGTATAGCTGAGAATAAAAATATTTCAATATGTGGCTGCTGGCTAAATTTTGTATTCAGCAAGTTGGTTCTTGATATCTTGTCCCTATACCAACAAACCTGTACATGCCTGTTCTGAGTTTAGTTCATCTGCAGTCTGTGCATGAGTTAGAGGAATTCATGTCCATCATTTCGTTGGTGAACTGGGTGTTGTGTTTTGTGTGTAAAATCATTGAAAGACTATATCACCTAGCAAATGATGACCATTAAGCACTCATGCATGCCACAATTGTGTTGTGGACTGCTGTTATTGTATTGATCAGAGGTCGGTTCTGTAAGCACTTGTTAAAGCCATACAAACATGAAAACACAACAATTAGGGAGCCCTCCATGCAAACACAAAGCACACATAGGTCGATATCTTATATACTTATCTTACGCAGTGCGTAACTCAAGCCAGCATATTGGGTTTGCAGTTTTTTCCGGAATGTTGCCTTAAGTGTACCGTCGTGAATTAGCAATTTTCGATTAGTTCGAGTTTTCCCATAGTGAAGGCTTTAGACAAAGAGGAAAGTCCGCGCTAAATAACAAGACTACAACAATGAGTGAACTTGTCTTCCCATAGTAACATCTTCACACAGAGATTACTGATTAATATCTATGATGTTTGTACAGGACCAACGGGAGAATTTCATCACTACATTTTTTGCAATCCTCGCATGAAGACTTGCCGAATGAATGGTTGAAGTCTCCATCAAGGTTGAGTGCAATCTGCGGGTCTTAAACAAGCCAAGGTTGCATAAACTTTTGACACAACGATATGCTCTGAAATTTTCAATCCAGTGAGGGTACCCTTAAGCTTATGTTTATATTTTCCCTGAAATGGTCTGTCACCGGGGGTTGAGCATATAAGTATATGTAAGTATATAAAGTATATAAATATAAATACAAATTATTATTCTTATTATTATTCTTATCGTTACTAATATCACTAGTAGTATTGTTACTCGTATTATTATTATTATTATTATTTTGAGATATATAAATATATCTACATAGATATATATATATATATA